CCAAGGGCCACTGCTGGCCCCCCTACCCTGCCCACCGGCGAGCACTCTTCCGTCTGAGCTGCCGACCGCCGCCTCCCTCATGGTCGCGGCAGCAATGGTTGCCGCTTCCTGGGCTTCTCCTGCCTCCTCCCCAAGGACACACACGGCCCCAAGTCACATGGCAGGTTCTTAACATCATCAAAGCAACCTGGGAGCCCAATCAGGAGGTCACCTCGGGACCCAAAATCTGCCAAGAAAAGAAACAGACTCAGTTTCCCCATTTCAGCCACCATAAACCCAAACCCAGGACGTCTCAGAAACATCAAAAATGTGAACATGGATCCGCCTCCTGGACCACCCAGGACTTTGAGGACAGAGTCCCTGTCTAGGCACCACAGACTGAGAGGACGGATCCCTCCCCTGGAGAAACCTCAGGAATGAGAGGACGGATCCCTCCCCTGGAGAACCCAGGACTCGGAGAACAGATCCCTCACCTGGAGTGCCTAGGACCAACAGGACAGAGCCCCACCTGGACCACCAAGGACTGAGAGGACGGACCCCCTCTCCAGCAGATCTGGAAGGGTCTTGGCCTTACTGAGGCCTCCACTTGCGTCACACCGACTTTTCTGCAAGCTTTAATGAGAAATCAGAAGGAAAAGCAAACGACCAGAGGGACTGTGTGACTGCTAGCAGTCTCTTGACTCCAAAGTCAGTGTTTCCTAAGCCAACGGGGTTTTCATCAAAAGCCACGGAGGGAATGAAGTCTGTCTCCACAACCACCAACTTCCTCCCGCCCCTTTCAGTTTTGAGCCCCAGCTGACTTCTTCCCTCCCCCAAAGCTTTGAAACTGTGGAGCTATTTCTTGTTTCGGTCATCTCGACCACACAAAAGTACTATTCTCTGGGCAATTTTCATCTTTCAGGATGAACAGAAAGAAACTTCATATCTTTGGCCCAGCGGCTCCCGCAAATGCCAACCGTGTCCGTGTGGGCGGGATCTTCGTTCAGAAAAGCCCGAGGCTGCCGGCGGGAACAGCCCACTCGAGGGTCTCCGATGACGCCCATGGTAGCCCTTGTCGAACCAGCGCCCCTTCACTCGCTCTTGTCTTTGTCTTCTTTTGACTTTTTCACTCCCAATTTCATGTAAAAACACATGCAAACAAAAGAACAAAAGCCTCCCATAATTCCGCTACTCAGAACGCCTGACCGCCTTGACACTTAGGCCTGTGTATGCTGGCCATTGGGAGGCACTAACGGTTTTTTCCCAGGAAGCTTCTTCCTACAAACGCAGCTTTGTCACTAGACAGAGCATAGCCAAACTCTCGGAGCAGAGCTCCAGACCGCGGCAGCCTCTGGGTGGAGGCGAGAAGGCGCAGAAACCAGCTGGGCCGGCGGGCTTCTTCCTGTTGGGGCCGGGTGGCCCCCAATGAAACCCTGCAAAGGAAGTAGGGCAGCTTTGCAGAAGGAGGGGCCCGGGGCCTTACTGTGGGCAAAGCCTCCGTCCCATCTCAGGGGTGCGGGTCAGCCTCTCACCCAACCTGAAAGCTGGCTCTGTAGATACGGGATTTGGGGGAGAGGCAGCCAGAGGAGGATGAGCCCTGAGGTAGGACAGCCTGCCAGTCACTCACAGGGACGACAGGAGGAAAAGTCCCCGACCCTGCCCATTCTTGCAAGGGCTACATGAACCCAGCATACAGGGGCTGCGCTCTGCTGTGTGTGCGACACAGAGACGCTCCTTTGGCTGGAGAGCAGGGTGCCTTCCTCCAGGACGCTGCCTTCCCTTCCCAGCTGACCGCTTATCTGAGTGTGAAAGGGCCCTGGCCAGGAGGGGATCCAGCTCCTCTGTTCAGAAACAGGTGGTGGCCCCTCCCAGGAGGTCCCGGGACACTTTCAGACAAGTCTGAAAGTGCACAGGGTGGGAAGCTGCTGCCCGAGCCCCCAGCCCTGCCAGTCCAATGTCAAGGAGCCCTTTAGTTTCGATAAACAAGTAAACAGATAATGGACTGCCATTTACACGATTGAAAGTTGTTGCTCCAAGAAGTCAAAAAGAAGTCACTTGGCATCAGGAAACTATCTTCCTAGTAGGGCAGAAACTTCGCCCAAGGTCACCTTCTTGGAGAAAGGACAAGGCCAGGGAGACAGGGCTTGCTCTCGCAAGTGTGTCCCCCCAGTGCGTTCTTAACCTTAGCCTGTGACGGATGCTCTCGCAACCTCCACTTCCCCACGTCAGAAAACACAGAGGAGTGGGAAAAGAGGAGGACACCGTCCCTGCGTCCCAGTGCGGCAATTGATGGAGCCGCTCTGGAGTCAGCACACCCCCAACGGTACTGTACACGGGGACACCCGGGACGGGCCTATGAGCGGACCCAGGTCCACAGCCTCCGTGAAGGCGGAAGAGGACAGGCCGCTCTCTGCCCCACCTTCCTCCCACATTCCATCTGCAGGTTCAAGCTGAGTCGGGCCAGCATCGGCCCAGCAGGTGGAAGGCAACCCACACCCACAGATGCTGCCCCCACCAGCTCTGTGGGGGTTCCAGCGGTGCCCTGGGGTGGGGCCGTGCCGGTTCTGGCCACCCTCCTGCCAGGCTGCAATTCGCAGCCAGAGAACACCCTCGGGCGCTTTGAGTTCGGGATGCAGACCTGGGCTTTCTCCTTCTCTGCAGTGACTCTGCCCCACGAACGGCCAGGTCTCGCTGGTGATGGAAGCACCTGGGAGCCGGGGAGGCCCAGAGATCCAGCTCCGGCATGGGCGCCACCATGGAGCACGGGGGCACCGGAACTCCTCAGGGGAGGCCGCGGCTCAGCCCGGTGTGGGGCAGCATCTGTGGTCCGACGTCCATCACGGTGGATGGACAAGCCGCAAACCCAGGAGCACCCTCACCCACCCGCATGGACAGCGCAGCGTGGACTCGGGCTGTACACGCGTGAGAGCCAGGTATCGTGCCGAGTCGTCTTCCTTGCTAACCTCTTGTGTGGGGTGAGTGTGTCTACCTCCACCCTCACGCCGGACGGTAGGGCTTGCGGGGTGCCAGCTTGCACGGCCCCCAATCTGAAGAGGGGTGTCTGCCTCGGCACTAAACGGCCCCCACGTGAGCCACGGTTTTTGAGTTCTTGGAACCAATCTGTGTGGGCTTCTCTTTCTTTGCTGTCGGTTTAACTTTTTTTATTTTTTATTACTTTTTGTCGTTGAGACAGCATCTCACTCTGGGGCCCAAGCTGGAGTGCAGTGGCTCAATCACAGCTCACTGTGGCCTCAGACTGCTGGGCTCAAGCGGTCCTCCCGCCCCAGCCTCCTGAGTAGCTGGGACTACAGTATCGCACCCAGCTAATTGCTGAATTCTTGCAGAGATGAGGCATCACTGTCTTGCCCAAGCTGGTCTCGAACTCCTGGGCTCAAGCAGCCCTCCCACCTCAGCCTCCCAAAGTGCTGGGATTACAAGAGGGGGTCACTGCACCCGGCCTGCAACCATGATTTCTATTTCTAAACTGGTCTGAAATATTTGGAAGACACCGGGCCCCCGTTTCTCAGCCTTGGCCAACAGAAAGGCTCCCCAACAGACCCCCTCCCCATGGAGTCTGGTTCCGCAGGCCTGGGGCAAGCCTGGTTTTTCAGAGACTGCCAGGAAGCCTCCAGTTTTATAACCCACGGGCCTCGGCCACTAGGCTATTCGAACGTGGAAGGATCTATCTCCAGAGAGGCTTCGGAGTAACTTCCGAGAGTGTGGAGACACCCTTCCCACCCTCCTTAGGGAGACCCAGCCGCCTTCAGCAGCCCCACGAGACATTCCCGCAATTCCCGCAAGGCATTGGGGTGCCTGGCCACGCCCCTCAGTCTTCAGGCTCCCGGACAAACTACTTCAAAGGACCCAGCACGTGCACAGAGGCGGCATCGAGCTCGAGGTCCTCGGCCCCAGGACTTCACACAGCTGCCCTCCCAGGGGCGCCCCCTCCCCTGCCCCCTCCCGCCGGTGACAGCCCAGAAAGAAGGCGGCGGGCATGCCTCGGCCTCTCGGGCAGGGGACCCGCCACAGTCGTCTAAAAGCCAAGTCTTCAGAACACGCGTTGTTTGCTCCCTCTTGGAAGTAGCCATGTGCGAGGCTATAATCCGTCTGCCGGGAAAGCCCTCAGAGCCACAGCAGCCCTCGCGAAGAAGCCACACTCGCCGTCCTACGCCCGAGGGCGGAGGCACCGCTGCACAGGATGTCTCCTGGGATCCCCAGGCGGCCCCATCCACAGCCCCTCAGGACGCCAGAACAGCCCAGGGGACAGCCCCTGAGGACAGTCACTGAGGATGCAGCCCTCCCCAGCCTCCCTCCTCCAGCCTCCAGGGGACTGCCACCGACCCCACCGGGTGGTTCGCATTTGCTGTTTCCCGCCTCCCTTCTCTGGCTCCTCCCTCCCCCTGTAAGCGGCTGTGGCCCCAGGCACTGTCACTCCGTCCGGCAAGCACACCACACGCCAGGTTCCGGGGTTGGTGCCCCGCTTGCTAGAGAGGCATCCCTGCCCTCACACGCCAAAGCTGGGGTCTAGAGACACCCCCACTGTGAGAGCCGGCTCTTCCTGCCCGACCCCTCACCTCCTCAAATCACATCAGTCAGCACTGCTCAGGTCCACTCCCGCAGCTAATGCCCCCCTGATGTGCGACTCTGGGAACGTTTAGAGGACAGAGACGTGGCTTTCTCAGCACTTCCCTTCTCGGAAGCCCTCATCAGGGGCCTTCCATTGCAATGTCTGCTTCCCAGCCCATCTCCAATCAAAACACGCTCCCATGCGTCTAAGAGGGAAACGGACAGGAGATGCCCTTCTGTTCCGCGTGGCTCAGAGTCCTGGACGCGGGCGCTTGGTGACCACTAGCCACCAGGACAGAAGCTCGGCCGCTGGCTGTCCTGCCAGCCACAGCCCTCATGCGTGTGTCGGCCTCCCCAGGCCTAGCGACGCGGCAAGTGGCGAGACGGCGCGCACACTCAGGACAACTCTCCATAGAGAAGACGCCCTGGTGCCAAGGAAGGTGCGAGGACATTACCAGAGAGACTTCTCCACAATCTTGGTCCTGAAAACCTCCTCTTGGTCCAGGTTCACCGTGCAGTAGCAATCTCTCATCTTGTTTGGCCCCGGGTAAGAGGGAAGATTTTTGGCTTCACCTAAAAAGCAAAGGTAACAAAGGTCACCAACAGAGTGTAGACATGTTTGGTTCCCTGCTGATCACAGACACGATTCCAAATAACAGGTTTATTCACAGAACACACCTGCTTCTGCCGCTGCCCGTTCATCAGTCATACATAAAGTCTGGGTTTTCTTGCTACCGCAAATCAAAATATGGATGCACAGACCATTTGCACCGTTGAAATGCAAAGCAACGCATACAACTAACCGCAAAAACAAACTGGCAGAAGCACGAACCTGGCAGCCTTGGAATTAAGGACTATTGCATCTTGTTGTTTTGCCCACACTAGTCCTTTAATTCTCTTACTTTTTACTGTGGCAAATACGCATAATTTAAAATTTACCCGTGTTCAAGCACACAGTTCAGTGGCGTTAAGCACATCCACACGGCTGTGCCCCTGTTATACCCGTCTCCTCATCCGGGCGTCCTCATCACCCGAAACTTAGGCTCGGTCCCCACCAAACACCGACTCCCCGCCCCGGCCCCGGCCCCCACCGTCCTACTCTGTCTCTGTGGATTTGGTGACTCTGGTGCCTCACACGAGTGGCATCACAAACTTCACTCAGCAAATGCCCTCCGGCGTCAGCCACGTCGTGCGGAGCACCAGGGTTCCTCTTAAAGCCTAAATAATACCCCATAACGGGCATGGACCACAGCTTGCTTATTCTTCACTCCCTTGTTACTTTGAATTCAATTGCACGGTACGAGGATAAAGTTGGGGCAATGATGAAAGAGACGGGCTCTTTTTCGTTGGTGGATTAAACCGTAAACCCAAGCTATTTAAAGCGCAGAGTGGAAGTCTAAGAGAGATCTGGCCTGGGTCCCCCCTCCCTCTCACAAGCCCAGAGAGACGCCCCGAAGTGTCACAAGTTTGGAGGAAACAGAGGAGACTTCAAGGCAGCCAGCGCCCGGCCGCCCTGTGGAAAACGCCTGCAGCGTCACAACTCCCCGTTGCCCAGGTCTGTCTGAGGTCACAGCCAAATGCCCAAAGGCTGCCGGCAACCCCACTGGAAGCCCGGAGCACCCCCCGCCGCAGGCAGAACTCCCGTTTTCCAGAAGACAGGAGTGAGCAGGCACGGAGGCGCGGACGCCATCGACGCAGACAGCTGATGCCGGTCAGCGGCCCCTCCGAGAAAGAAACGTCCGGTCACGCCTCCCAAGGCCTCAAGGTCTCCGAGTCATTTTTACTCTAAAGACACTGGATCCGGGCCCCCTGACATCAGACGCCACGCAGGAAGAGAGGACGGAGGCAGGGCACCCGGCCCATGCCAACAGCTCGCCAAGGCACACGCTGACGCCTGGCGACATCACTCGGGGCCAAATGACCTCATCCTTGTGCAACTGAGAAAAATCAAGGCCAAAACCACCGGGGTGGAAGCTTCTCAGAACTCCGTCCTCGGGACTCAGCGCTGGATGCTCAGTGTCACGGCGACACTCGCATCTCACTCACACAACCCCAGCAAGCGCAGGCTTACACCTCACGCGGGGAGAGGGCGCGCTCGAGAGACGCCAGTGTGCAAACTCAAGCCAGAAACTCCACAGGCAGGACAGACTCAAGGCGTCTGAGGCATCCTGGTGCACGTCCACTCCCGGCATCAACTTGGGACAGGGGGTGACGAAGCCAGCTAACAGACGCCTTCGGTACTCGATGAGCTTTGTGTCATTGCGAGGGGACCCACAACACCCAGAGTTACCGTTTGGAGGGCAGGCCCCTTGTGGTACACTCGTAATCTTTTCCTCCGGATCAAAGGGTCAACCAAAGTTTCTATCTGGAAGTTTTGAGAAGGTTGCGTCACAATTTTCGGAAGAAACGTCCCCAGTGTGGCAAACAGGTGGCTGGTTCTACCACCACGGAAATGCACCTGCCCCTCCTGGGCTGAGTGTTCACTGCGTCTGACCTCAATGGCATGGCCCCGGGCCTCATCCTCCCTATTCAATCAATCTCACCCCGAGGGACACTTTTTTGTTTCCCTGCAAGGAAAAAGTCCTCAAAGGGAAGTGTTTTGCCTAGGTGAAAGGAAAGAACAGCAGGAGCACCAAAAGGCACCAGAATTCACGAGTTCAAAAAACTGTTTTGAGCAGAGGAAAAAGTGCCTCGATGATAGGTGTACTGCATCTGATGGAGAGTGCTTGGAGGTGATTAAAGTTTCACCAGGCAAAAATGGATACACAATTTTTAATAATAAATCCCAGGTCTTCTGGGGTCCCGCCTCGTCCATGTGGCTTCTGAGGCATCAAAGAGCCTTCTGGCAATTTTGGCAGCACCAGCTGTGATCCGCACGGAGTGGCTTCCTGGGTCTCACCCACCCTTCCTGCACACGGCCCAGCACACAATCTGTCCGGGCCTCGGCTCCCTTCACTGTAAAAGCAAGAGACACCCCAGTTCTCGAAGGCTCCTCTCACTCTGAGAGGCTTCTAGTTCAAAAGGTTCTGGACATTTTTCTTTGGGAAACCAAGGGATCATCAATGATTATCAGGTGATGGGGAAAAAACTGAGCGTGTTATTATAGCCACGGCTGTCCTCAAAACGCCCTAACATGACAACCCTCCCAGACATGCCATCTTCACATGACTTGAGCACATGGAAACGTGGCCAGTCTGGTAAGAGGCATGTGAATGTGGGCTGAGCTTCAAGTCATTCACTAAAGGTCGAGAGGGAGATTTTCTGAAGGCTCCCACAGACGTGAGGCCCCACGCGTGGCCACGCACACGCATGCAGGGTGCGTGATGAATTCTCAGACATGGAGGGGAGAATGTGCCTGGTGGGCTTCTCCAGGGCGGGAGGGGCGCCTGGGCGACGGCAACCGAAGACCCTCTAACAGACACAGCCTTCCCGGGAGCCGTGGCTGTCCCCAATCTGACGGGCGGCCACAGCTCACCCGCCACATCCACGTGGGCCCTTCACCCTCCCGGGTCTGCTGCGGAATGGTCACTCTTGCAGCATTCGGAAAGCTTCAACCTCAAACCCAGACGGACTTTGCTGACTTCCCATCCGACACCTTCATGGTGTGAATTTGGGCGTACCCTGTCTCACTGTTTTTTTGTTTTTTGTGTTTGGGGTTTCTGTGGTTGTTTTGTTTTCTGCAACAAAAGCTCATGGATACTTTAGCTGTGGGGAAGATGCCTCAACGTGCTAGGGGAGACGGTCTTTGGTGGAAAACGCAGAGCTGAGGTTTTGGTCCTGTTTGTTACCCAAGACCCCTGGGACACAGGCAGGGGCCGACTCTTCCCCGGATGGTGGGGTCCTCAGGATGGAAGGAGAGGAGCCCTCTCCCAGCAGGCCTTAGTCAGGCAGACACTGACCGCGGAAATGCCCCGCCTCTCCGTGTGGCAGGCGCTCCGCGGCCTGCCCACCGCTCCCCTCCCCGCCCGTCCCCATGCCGGACTGGTGGAGAGACATCCCGGCTGCTGTGGCGACGGCCACACCAGGGCTGAGGTCCAGGGCATCACACTAGCCACTCGGGCCAGGGGCGAGGGCGGCTGCCTGCGTCTCCAGGCCCGAGACATGGGCTCCACGCCGACCGGAAGGGCGGGCGCTGTGGGCCAAGCCCCGGCCTCTGCTCCGTCCCTCAGCTGAGCAGGGAGGCGCGGCCCAGGCCCAGGCGGACGCTTCCCACCGTTCCCAAAACAGGACCCTCTTCCTTCCACACGGATCACTTACACCCGGGCTTCCTCTCCTGTCTCTCTTTCCTTTTTTCTACTACACGTGGACACTTACAAACGAAGGCAAAGCTGTCTCTGATACACAGTCGGTGCTGACTGTGGAATAAATGGATGAGCAAACGACCGATGTAAGAGAAAACTCCGGTTTCCTTCGAAGAGCCAAATAGGTCACCGCGTTCGTGACCGCTTATCCGCTGACCATGTCTCTAAAACGTGCACCGTCCACTCCCCAGCAGCAGCATTGATCAAGATAGAGACGGGTACCCGGTGTGAGCTCTGAAAACCAAATTTGCTAACACAAGTCAATGTCATGGCCAGACTCGGTGGCTCATCCTGTCATCCCAGCTCTTTGGGAGGCCGAGGTGAGTGGATCGCCTGAGCCCGTGGCTTCGAGACCAGCCCAAGCACCTTGGCGAGATCTCATCTCTGCAATCTGGGCGTGTTAGTGCATGACTGTAGTTCCGGCTCCTTGGGAGGCTGAGGTGAAAGGATTGCCAGAGCCCACTGGGGTGGCTGTGGGTGTGCCAGCCTGGGCAACGAAGTGAGACTCCAACTCAAAACAGAAAAACAAAGAGAAGTAAACGGCAGCACTTGACAAGTTTTGAATGGGAGAAAACAGCAAAACACAAGGTTTGCCTGCAGGAACGAGGCCACAGGCTTGGAAGCAGGGTCGTGGCTTGAGGGGTCCTGGGGCAGAGCTTGGTTCTTTCTGCTGTGAGACTGGAGCCCACTCCCCCAGAGATAGCACGCCTATGACCACACGTTCCAGAACTCGGTTCTGTGCTCAGCACGTGGTGTCTCCAACTCCGTGACAGGCCGAACCCGCTGAAATACGGGGAACCAGGTCACGGGGCCCACGCCTGGTCCCAAAGGCGGCCCCTCCCGCCTTGATACAGCTTCATGGACCCATTCGCAGGAGCAGAACCTGTGAAAGAGCTGCAGCCCCCTGCTCCCTGCTTGCAAGCCTTGTTGTCATTCTGATGTGAAACCCCCAGAAGTGCCCGAAAATCCTGCCAGGCAACACAGCGGAAGGCATCGACCCAAAAAGGACAGTCTGGAGATTAAAATATTCTGTTTCCTTGAATAAATTTTTTGCCGCCTTACTACTTTAGCACTCGATGTTGTATTTTTAAAACTCCGTAAACCATTTGATTGGATTTCTAAATCACAATATAAGCAGCCTCTCTCTGCATGCTGGTTTAGAAGTCAGAAACTGGCCAGAGCCCCCCTCCTCAAGGCCCCCTCAGACAGGGCAGAGGTCCCCTTCAGGCCCCGGCCAGGGTCTCAATGAAGCACAGACCCCCTCCCAAGC